GCACAATGTTGCAGTACTGTTCCCCTTATGCTCTGAGCCAGAAAGCTGCATTTGCTTTTTGCACCTTCCTTAAACCCAAGCCACCATTAAATCCAAGAATGTCACAGACTTTTATTTAGAAGGATGGAGATGACATAGATATACTTCAAATAACTTGAGATTCCAGGATTTTACTCTTAGTTTTTTTTTTAATCTACCATTCACTGTAGATAGATCTTGATCAATTTCCAACTTGCCTAAAATTAATAATAAAAAGATGTTCTGAATTATCATGAAACCGCATAAACAGTCTCTTAATCAAAAGTCACAATTTTCTAGGAAAAAAAGAAACTATGAAATGGGTTTTTTTCCCTTAATTCTATGAAGACAAAAAAACACTTTGAAACTCTCCACCGACTTTAGCCTCTATGTCTTCTTTTAGAAGAAGGTTCTAAAAAATAACCAATACGTTAATTTGTTGAGCAAACAGAAATTTAGTGACAATTTTATATAATGATCTGGGGAAATTCAGTTCCTGAATCTTTCCTATTCTGCCTGCTAAGATGACAAGCTACAGTCAATTACCTCAGGTTTCAATGTCACAGCACATTTCCAGTGTTACAAACAGAAACACATATAAGAGTGTGAACACCAGCTGCAAGTGTCCCTGGAACAACAGGAAACAGCTTGAGCTGAAAGGAGCATGTGCCTTTTGTCCTAGAAAGGCACTGATTTTAAAAGACACTGTTTTAAAACTAAGAAATAGACCACAGCACTTCAGTAGGTAGTCCCAAATAGCTATTATGAAACCTATCCTAAAGAGAATGATTTCTAGGGACCCAAGGTCATAAATCAACCCATCAGATTGATCTACAGGAGACAATACTTTCAGGAATGGTAGCATCCCTAAGGGGTGATAACAAAGCTGATGCTAGGATATGTGATAACAAAGTTGACGCCAGGATATGGCCGAAACCATGCAATATAAGGTACAGCAGCACATGCCAAGGGTATGCCTTCTGTCCTGGGAGCCCTCCGCTTGATGTGGGAGAAGTGTCAGGGACAAATTCACTAGCTGGAGAAAGCCCAGAACCAGAATTGCATTGTGAAGTTTGAGTGAAAATAGTCATGGGATTAACGATATAGAAGGATGTTTAAAACTGTCCCAAATCATGGGATTCACAGGCATCCTTCACAGTGCTATGGAAGGAAAACAAAATGATGTTGTCCCCAAAACCAATACAATCTAAGACAAGTCTATGAATGCACATATAAAATATGGTCATAAAGTCAGTTTCCCAAATGTCTGGCAGGATGCTTCATGTTTTATACTTACAGATTTTTCAGGATATTAACATTTGTTTTGCCATGAATGAAGTAATTTAAAAAATGATTGTGATAACAGGATCTAACAATGGCCTGCTTCACACTATTTGTTCCACAGTATGAGCTTAGATTGCTTGTAAATATCTTCTCTCAAAAATCTCTTAAATTCAGTGTTGATGTACCTTCACCCAAATCCAAGAGCTACAGAAATATGAGCCAAGATGAATCTCTTTAAAAACAACACTGAAGGAATTTCAGTTAAGTCCATACTGTCTTCTTTCTAAAAATATGTTTTTAATCATCCCTCATGATGCTTAACTGGTTTTCTCACATGGTTAAAAAGTTTCTTCTTTTCACTTAGAAAATAGTATTTTAAATTATTTTTTAAACTTCATTCCAATTGCATTTCTAGTGATTTGAGACTTTTGATGTGAGACTCTTAGATGCATTAAAAAACATCCATCACCTCTCATATCCCTCTAAAACTATAAAACAAATTTTTATTTGAATAAAAATGGCAGTTAACTGGTTAATAATAATGAGTCTCTGATCTTTTTAAAGTACAAAATATTTAATTTGTGTCATGCAACAGGTCTTGTGATAAATCTAAACTTTTTTGTGACAATAAGCTACAAAATGAGCACTCAACAGTTCACCACTACCCTAAATAACTTGTTTGAATACATCTCTGGCTTTAATACGAATTTTAGTTATTTCACTTTGTCCTCCATATGCAAAGCAACAAAGAACTAGGTATCCAATTTCACTGAATAATTGAGAAACATATCACAATGCACATAAAGGGTTTATGTTATCCCTGCAATCCACTATCATCAACTTAGATTTCTAGACCAGGGAAGCCACCTGCTGACATCCACAAGCGTTAATTGACAATGTTTATCTTTACCAGCTCTGTCCCAAAACTAAGTGAATTTTATAAATCTGTCTGTATGCACTGCCTTTGAACACACCAAAAGTCCAGGTTTTTGCGTGGTGGTGATGTTGCTCTAAATCAAAAAATCTTTTTTTCTGAAGCCATTAAAGGTTCCTAAAAATCTTACTTATCTTCCCCAAACGTGGATGCAGCTGTCATTATAAGCTGTTCTATTTTCATGGCTTTTGTTTGTTGATGGCACAATTTTACATATATTTGATTAGACATCTCCCATGTTAACAGTACAATAAGCATGTCTATATAAAGAGTATAGATAAAGAAAATATTTTAATATTTTATTTTAATATTAATTTATACTTTAATCTAAAATTGTGATATACAAGTACCTGAACAGAGTGATTCTTAGTATTGACTTCAGCTAAAACAGAAGAAACTCAACCTGCATGAGGTTTTGAAGAAAACAAAAGCATACCATAATAGCACAGCAGAGAACACAGAATCTATAGCTTGATTTCTATTAGAGAAACTACAAATGAAAAATTGAAAGATGCATAGAAGTAAATAATGTTAACACTTGGACCTAAAGATTTTTGTTTCCTAAAATATATTTTTCCTTGGCTTTTTAAATATTTACCATTACATAGTGAACTCCAAAGGCCTACTGACATTCATTCACTGTATTGAATGAGTTAGAATGGTAGTGCTCATTGTAGTATACATCAGAGTGAAAGTGTTGTAATAAAAGTACGCTAATTATATGGGAACTACATTCAGCAAGCATCTAAAATATTTCTAAAGAGGCATTAGATTTAAAACCCTTTTTCTAATAAAAAAGATACCTGCAATTTACATAGCTGTCTCTTATTTGCACCATTTCTCTCCCAACTTTTTCTTTAGGCAAAGGAAACTAACTTACATTTTCTAACTTAAAAGTCAGCAAAAAGTTGCAGTGTTTAAGCCACAGCCACTGGAAAAAAGTATTAAATAAAAATGGTGCATAATGTTTGGTTGCTTTTATAAAGCTTCAAGAACATATTTTGATTGGTATGAGAGAGACTAATTTTTACAAAAATTTACATAGTCTGATTTTGTTTAGAAAAATATTCTCTTAAAATTTAAACTTTTCAGTGCAACAGTCTCATTGCCAGACATTGCACCTGGTTAATCACATTGCACTCTTTTGTGAAGTTATTTTTTTTTTACTTTTCAGTCAAAACCCTGTCCTTTCCCAAAAATGTCTCCATATGAATCTGCATAGTCAAGATGACAAGGAAAACTTTCTAATAAGTTTTAAAAAGCATTCATGACATGAATGAAACTATGTACTGCTATTTTATTGATATTTGAGTGAAATGGTATTATCACCAAGCTGAAATGGGTGGATAAAAGAAGCCATGTGAAAACACTGAATAGGAATTTTCTCTAGCACCTACTTAGCTTTGCTACTGTTAAAACACCCCACAGACCATGCTTTGCAAGCAGACACCATGTAGAACCATTTAAAGATACCTCTGACTCAAAGGGCACACCTGAAAAAGGGGAATAATAAAGAATAATTTCATATTGCTTTTTGCCTCTCTTCAGTATATAATTGCTATGTTGAGATCTTAAGACAAATGAGTCAAAATTAGCACTGATGTATAATGCTCTTGTTAATTTCACTACAGAAGGAATCAACAAACCTGACAAATGTCCAAGCACACTTTCTCCAAATAGCCATTGAATGTGGTTTGTGGATTTACATATAACAGCTTTAGTCAGTTTTCTGTGCCAGGAAATGAAACTATTCTGGAGAGATACTTTAGCCTAAAGAGTACACTATCTTAAATGCTTCTATAGGACATGCATTTAGAGTGATTTACACATTCTAGTTATTAATTTTACACATAATATATTTAGGAAAATAAAGGGAAAAAATTTAAAAAGTATGAAGGAGTAAAGTCCAGAAAAGTCAAATAATATTTTTAATCCAGAGATCATTGTTCCATGAAAATTAATATCCAATCTTCAGGATGTTTAAAATGTCAAACAACTTGGTAATTGGACCTGCACAAAACCTTTGCATAAAAAAGTTTCAAAATCTGTGATCAGTCTCTTTGAAACTCCACCAGTATCTACCAATGAAACAACTAACTTATTTTATATGGTTAACAAGAGCAGACATCCTTTAGTGCTTTATGACTTTCCATTCTCAAAAGAACTTAGCACTCATTTCAATTGTGACTTGCTACTTACTGATTAAAAGAACTAATATTTATTTTCCTGATCAGTTTTATATTTACTTGGAAGATTTTACAAAGGAAAAAGACTAAAACAGTGACTCATTGCTAACTCAATCCTTTCTCCCTTTTTTATAGCCAAACTGAGCTCAAATACTAAATTAAGAAATTTACCAGAATCTAAAAGAAAAATCTTGCATAAATCTTCGTTCTGCAGAAACATCCACTGGCAGTGACCCAGTATAAAACAAATTTTTTAAAACTGCTGCATATAGTAACTTTTCCAAACGGGACAGGCATCTTTTCAGGTAACTTTTGTGGCTTTTTAGCTTTTTTTCAGTTTGAACTGGCTTACCAATCTCCCTTATGATGTCAGCTTGGCATGAACTCAGCCACCGCAAGTTATCAGAGAGCTCATTTTTATGATTATAGACCAAGACTAATATTTCAAGAAAAGAGAGATTCAGAAAGTTTTAAAATTTATACTGCAAAGAGAATTTATTTTAATTTTTGTACATACAAAGACACTCAATGATCCTCCATGAAAGAGCCTAACAAAGCAAATGTTGAGTTAAACTGACCTTTTGGAGTCTTCCAGCTTTTCTTAAGCCCCCAGTGTGTTTATTCTTTTGTTTGTTAAAAATTTTGCAAGAGCCATCAGTAACGTGACACTCTTCATCTTCATTACCTAGAAACCAGATTTAGAAACTTAAAATGAAAAATGCAATCTTATGAAATGAGACTGCAACTAATTATTTTATCATAGAACAGCAGTATGTACCCTTAAGATACTTCTTAATAATTTGTACCCATTATTTTTTCACTGTATTTCAGTTAGGGAAAAGGAATGACACTCAAGCATCTGATTTAATCTTTGAGTATCTGCTCTTATAAACCAGTTGTAAAACTCCCAATTTCCTATATTTTGAAAACTATATATTAACTACAAGTAGAGAATCTGCTAAATTGTTTTCCATTTATTATAAAATGTGCAATTTCTCTGCACAAGACATTTGGGTATGAAGCTTCAGTGGCTAGATTTTCTTTTTCTTACTGACACATCAATGCTTTCAGTACATGCTTTGTTTGTCTAAAACGACACGGAGGTCTGAACCTTCTTTTGTACCACTTGGCATGCAAATCTAGCAAACTGTTGGCAGGCAAGGATTCTGTGCACATAAAGGCATATCAGACCTATTATATATGAAAAGGAACCATCCATAAGAATGCACTGTCAAAATCCAGTATTTTTCATTATGTATTTTATGAATTCTTCAACTCTGTCAGGATGACTTTAAGAACTAAATAATAAACTTCTCAATCATTTGAGAAATTAGCTTGCCTGCCTAAGATGAAAATTAAGCTTTAATTACTCTAAATTTAGGGAGAGAATTTTTCCCAAATGTCATTCAATAGCGCTTACTTTAGAGTATTTACTCATTTTTCATTTCAAAGAAATGGGTGAGATCAGTTAAAGAAAGTTTAATTAGCGATTAAAGTGACCTAAATTTAGCTCCTGCCAACAAAGTTTCTTTGATTAGTTTTGGAAAATACTGAAGGGCACTATCCCTATTTAGTATGCATATATAAGTAAGAATCATTTGTTTTTCCTCTGTCAGCTACTTAAACTCTTAATTCTTGAGATGACAGAACATCAAATTACAATCCAATATGATTACTCTCTTTATTATAATCTTTAAACTAGTCAAAATTTATTGCAGAAATTTTTATGAAATATATGTAAACCTGGTTTTCAGGTACAACTGTTGATTTAAATTCAATATTTACGTATATATTGTCACATAATAAAGAGACAACTAATAGCTATGTTAATTTTATTTTCAAACTGAGGAAGACTGATGGCAAGTAGAAGAAGAGAAAGCATCTTGCCACACAATAAAGAAAAGAATTACCTCTTTTTCCATAAAAAACCAGAACTTTGAAAGATGTATTTCAAATCTTTAAAAATAAAACAAATTGGTATCATGTACTCCCCTGCTTTACCCTAAGTAATCGCTGTTAATTTCCATTAGGTTATTTCAGGTTTTTGGGGGTTTTTTTGAGGGGTAGCTTGGGATGGGGACTAACAGTGAAAAATAGTGTAATAGTCTTTTCACTACTCTTGCCCTGAATGCTCAGGCTCCACAGCACTTGTCCTACTTGGGCTTAAACTCTTAACAGCTGTATTCTTGGACTTCTTTCCAGTTTGGGTTCACTCCTGTGGATTCTTCATATTTACAGGAAAGCAGGAAGAGAGGATAATGTCCCTTATCTCTGATTTTCAGCTCACAGATCCTAGGCACTGCATTAATAAGGGCTACTCTTTGCTATTCCATTCCTGTCTATCAGCACTTCTCAAGCACTTTCCAGCTTTTCCATCCTATAGGTCTCAAGCTTCACTATTTTCTGTCTTTTCCTGATTATTTCTTTTTAAAGCAGTCACTCAAGCAGAGATTGTGAGTTTTCATCTTCAGTAGCTTTTCCTAGAGAACTTTAAAGTTGACAGAAGTTTTTGAAGCAATTGCATCCAGTGTTAATTCTCCCTAAATTAAGTTCAAATATGCAGGTAACTCCTGCCACTGCAGTTAATTAGATCCCCTAAATTCTCTTCCAAAACACTGCTCAATGATTGGCACCAAAATGAACAACAGAGCCCTCTGAAGCATTATCACAAATTAGAGTGATTTTACTTTGCAATTTAAGCTCCTACTTATTCATGATAATTTTAACACCAATGAGAAGTTTTGAACCAGAATATTATCTCCAAAATTCCATTTGATATTTCTATTGAACTGAAAAGCAGCGATTAGGCAAAATGAGCTAGTTCTGCTCAATCAAATAAACCATGTATAATAAAATATTTTTCTATAGTATAGGTCTCTACTTTAAAAATATTGTTATAAAGTGTCACTTAAGGCATGTTGTAGCTATTATTTTGTACTTATCCATAGAGGCATTTACCCTAACTATGAAGAAATTAAGTGCAAATTTGTCATCATTAGTAATCCTTCAGGTACACATGCACAGAATATTTAATACCTTGTGTTGTTATTATTGTAGATATTACTGAAACATGGGCAAACAAGTTTTTATTTATATGGAACATAATTTCTTCAAGTTTTTGGAAAACATATGTGCCCCCCACCCCAGGTCCTCAGGGAGAGCCTGTTAATGGTTTAAAAAAATTTAATGTAGTTTGTTATGTGCTCTAGGACAAGTGCCATCAGACTTTGGCAAATTTGACTACATCAAAATAATCCTCTACCTGTTCCTCTACTCAGAAATACTTGTCCTCTTTTGATTTAGTAATTAGTTACAATTCAACTTTTTTGTTACAATAAATAAAACAAGAAATCAAGGAAGAAACAACTTTGTTCTTCATGCCTCATTTGTTTTTTAAAATGACATAAAAAATGTCAATAGAGGACATTATAAAATATTTTTAGTGAGCCTATCTTCCTCCAAGGCTGAAAAAAACCAAAAGGCACATCAAACCTAAAGAAGTTTTCACATGTGCTTTTAAAGACATAAGCAGTATTTTACCAGCATTAACACCCATAACACCAAGAACCTCAGGTAAAACTCATTAATCTAAATTAAACACAATGATTTCTTGAACAAAATAACAGAATGGCATTCCAGATTTTTCAGCTTAACGCTGAACTACATTAATTTCAGTACAATGGGTCTTAGTTTAAGTCTTTTTGCCAATTAAGATAATATTTGCCTTCCACGTTACCATAAATATATAAAATTCACTCAGATAAGCCTTAAGTTTATTTTTAAGACTGGAAGTAAGGCTAGGTCTGAGTTCAAATTTCTAAATGATTCTCGCATGATAAAAGCTCAGGAGAATATACTCTTGCATTCCTTGTCCATAATTATTTATTGTTGTAGCTTGCAGATGAAAAGTCATGTGACCTGTAGATGAGTAAGATGAACATAAGTTGCAGTATTTATTTCAGCAGAACAACTGGGCAGCCTTGAATGTGCCCTACAAAGCAACCTGAAGCTTGCTACTGCATAAGCATTAAGCCTCGAAAATTTGGTTTCAGATTAGCCTGCATATTCTACTTTAAAATGAAATGTTCCAAGTAGTCTATGGAAAAAAAAGCTTATTAAATCTTCTTGTCATTAAAGATACTGGGTAAAAGTGCCACTGACAAAATCACAACAAAAAATAGGCAAGAAAAATGTTTGATATTTAAAACAGACATAACAATTTATATGGCTATTTGATTACTTGTGACCATATATATATGATGAATGAAGAGAATTCATTAGTTTTTGAGAATATACTGGATTTACCAGCTTTCAAATAATCTACAGTATACAGAAAAAACCCCTCCAATTTACAATTTCTTTACTAATAGGGACAAGAAGCAACTTACATTTAATTTAAAAAGCAAATACTTAATCCATAATTAATAAAAATAAATTATTTCATCATAGAGAATCACAGGAGTAAATGTTATACAAGATTTTCATTTTCTACCACAAAACTTGCATTATGAGGGAAATCACAACTTCTCTTACATCATTGATTCCTTCAATTTTTAAGTGATCTCATTCGAGCTGTCAAACTTGAGGTCCTGCTTGACCTCATGAAGCTGAATATACCATACTTGCAAAAATGGCCATCACTCATATAACACAAATACTATTAAAATCACTACAAACACAAATTGAGACTTACAGACTTTCCTAACAAAAAGGATAAAAAAGTATAAACATTGGATAACTTATGTTTGCTGAATCCTATTCTTTTTTTTTGTTCTCTAAAATCTATTATTTTAAACACTGTCCAGCATGAAAATAAGTGTGACACTCTAGAACAGTGATCATAATTTAATTGCTGGAATTAAAAAATTTTAATTAAATCTAAAATTAACTGTAATAGCTAAGTTTAGTAAATAAGCCTGATAGAGTTCAAGAAGCATTTGAACAATGCTCTCAGGCACATGGTGCGATTCTTGGGGCTGCCTTGTTGCAGGGCCAGGAGCTGGACTTTGCTGATCTTTTTGGGTCCCTTCCTTCCAGCTCAGAATACTCTGTGATTTTTCTCCTTCCCTATTTGTTTCCATGACTGTATAATGGAAACCAGACTCTTTGACATTAGGAGCTACACAATTTAAGAATCATCTTCTAGTACATTGACACGTGGCAAAAAAACACATACAGTGGGTTCATGTATTACATAGAATCATTGAATAGTTTTGGGTTGGAAGGGACCTTAAAAATAATCTGGTTCCAACTCCACTGCAATAGACAGGTATACCTTCCACTAGACCAGATTACTCAGAGCTCCATCCAACCTCACCATGAACACTTCTAGGGATGAGGGGTCCACAACTCTGGGCTACCTGTTCCAGTGCCTCAGCACACTCATAGTAAAGAATTTTTTCCTAACATCTAACCTAAACCTACTCATTTTCATTGAAGAACATTCCCCCTTGTCACATCACTACATGCCCCACAAAAAGTCCCTTGGCAGCTTTCTTGTAAGCTTCCTTTAGGTACTGGAATGCTGCTGTTAGGTCTACTCAGAGCCTTCTCTTCTCCAGGCTGAACATCCCCAACTTTTTCAGCTTGTCTTCATAGGAGAGGTGCTCCAGTCCTTTGATCATCTTTGTGGCCTATTTTGGGCTTGTTCCAACAGGTCAATGTCTTTCTTGTGCTTGGGGCTCCAGAGTTAGAGTTCTCCAGCCTGGATTTCTCCTACAGCAGGCAGTTTTTATTGCCCCAATTCCTGCTTTCACCTGCTGCAACATGGGTGGCGTGGCTGAAGCACTTGCTGGTGAAGCCTGGGGCAAAGAACCATGGTGAATATTTCAGCCTTGTCCACATCCTGGGTAAATAGCTATACCATTCCTTAGAGGACCCATATTTCCCCTAGGTTCTCTTTTGTGGTTGACGCACCTAAAGAAGCTTTTTTAAATTTACCCTTCAAATGCTTGGCCAGATTTACTGCTTAAACCTTCCTAATCAGATCTGTGGCTGTTCAATTTCTCTGTGATATCCCAGGACACCCTTCCCTGATTCTGCTCTTTGAAAACTACCTGTTTTTGTTTAAGATTGTCCAGGAGCTCCACCTTCATCCATGCAGGCCTCCTGGCATTCTTCCATTATTTCTTCTTCACAGGGATGTGTTGTTGTTCAGTCTGGAGGAGACAATCCTTGAATGTCATCCCTTGGGTATCTCTTCCCATGGTACTCTACCAAGCAAATCCCTGGTGAAGACAAGGTCTGCTCTCCTGAAGTCCAGGGTAGTAAGCTTGCTGTATGCCCTCCTTGCTGTCCCAAGATCTTGAACTTCAACATCTCATGGTCACCGCAATCAAGGTTGTCCTTGAGCTTCACATTCCTCAGCAGTACCTCCTTCTTGGGGAGAAGAAGATCCAACATAGAACCTCTACTTCATGGCTCATCTATCACTTGGAGCAGAAAATTGTCATTTATGGGTGTACATTTATACCTGTATAACATACACCTGCATTCACTGTTTTTTAAAAAGTGCAAGAAATTATGCACTCCAGTTATTAAAATACAGATGTAATAAACTCAAAATGGCAGCTCACAGTTCAGCAGCTTATTATTCACATGTATAGGCACAGTCATGGTTCAACATTCCCACTGGATTTCATAAATCTGATAGCAAGTTTGTTGAGCCCTTTAAGTTGATAATTAGTTTTTACAATTAATTGATGCACTACTACAGAATTTTCTAGGGAAGATAAATTATTAAAATACACAATTATAGTTACAAATATTCAACCCCATGAAAAGCTTGACAAAGTTCAAAATATCAAAATCTGAAAATTATTCCAATGCAAGTTAGGAGCATTTTCCAGAGAAGTTCCTGAGATTCAATATTTTAGTATATATTTACATAAAAATACTTTATGCTAAACCAACTTGAAAATGCTTAACTATAAAAAATACTCTTAAAATTATAATTAAAAATTAAGATCAGCTCCATATTAAAAAGCAATGGTTGAAAAAGATGTTTACATTGAAACTCTTGCAGGTCTTATTTCACCACACAAATAAGACATTACTAACTCAAATATTTTTTTCCACCAGAGATTTTAGTAACAATTTTGGTAACAATTTTCACTTGTGGAGTAAAAATAGTTTGAACAAGGGAACCTATGATGATACCATGTTTCTTAAACAGATTTTGAATGGCAACAGAAAGTTAGGAGACTAAAAGAAACAAGGCCCCACATTACTTTTGTTGTGTATAGTGAGCAGTTTCCTTATCTCTTATGGTTTTGTGTTTGTAAGGTATGGGAAAACAAATAGGTGCTCTTTTGGATTCTATGCATTCATTTATTTGACTCAGTAATTAAGTCAGTGTCACAGTATTTTCTTCTTTTGGTGTGTTTCTGAAGTATTTTTTCTTTTGGAATGGCAGTTCATTTTGCAATTTAGTTGCATTAGTATATTTAATGCAGTATGATATCTTTTGATTTTCCAGCTCTATGTAGTAACTTACCAGTAGTATGAGCACAGACATTTACACTACTGTAGGATTTTTCATGAGCATGCTGTGGTAGCCTGTTCACATCATCAGCATCTAGAGCTTCTCCAGGGTGATCTTTTTCACCACCTGATATATTTGATGGTATGCTTCCTGGATGTTTAGCTAGATTGATTTTTTGCTTTACTGGAAAATCATTTACTGAAATAGACGTCTTCCTACTTATCTTAGTAGTGTTACGTGGCTCACAGAAACTCACATCCTGTAGGGCCATGTTTGTAAAAGAGTCTTTGCAACAAATTTCAGGAGGATTCTTTGATTCCTTTGGAACTTGTATCTGTGCTGCATTTTCATTTAAATTACATGATGAAAAGAAGTCTTCATAAGAAGCCTCTTCAGTGCAGTAAGACTTGCTATACGTAGTAACTGCTTGCAAGAACCCCTTAGAGCCTGATGCACCCAGTTCTGAGGTAGCCAGCTTCAAATTTGGTAATGTTTGTCGTTTCTTCCTCTTCTTGTCTTCAAGAACACAATCATTTCTGTCAACAGAGAAGCTTTTATTCAGTGAATATGCATTTAAGTCTTCACTATTCATAGGTGAATTAGAAAGACTGTCAATCAAAACAGGAACAGTATTTGACTGGACTATTTTTTTGGAAGGAGTAATATGACCAAAGCCCTCAAGAACAGAACTTTCATTTGCAATTGAAGTAGTCTTATTCTTCTTGTTGTTCTGATTTTTCTTTGGAAATATTAAGTGTTTCTTTCCTAAAGACAATCTGTCATCCAAAATGGGCTGTATAATCTGTTTCTTTGTTAAACTTCTGGCATGTCGTTTTGGTGCTAATGTCGTCTTCTCATTGTCATGTGATGGAGAATTCACTGATGTGCTCATGGACACATGAATATCAGTCCGAGTATCACAGACATACTCTGCTACCTCTGTTCTCTGTCCCTTTAACGTCTCAGTTCTCCAAAGAGAATCACAACTTGAGTTCAAGCAGTCTTCCATTTGCTCTTCTGCAAAAAAAACCAAGTGGCAATAAAAATGTATTGAACAAAATAGAAAGTATCAATTTCTTAGTGAAATATATATGGAATTCCTGAACTGAAAACAAAAAGCTTTAGCCACTTCTCTAGATATTACATGGCAAGTCAACGAAAACTGAACAGAAAATGGACTTGAAACAAAGCACATTCTGTGCTGACAAGAACCTATGACAGTTCTAGCTATTGTGTCCCATTACCTGGTCATAAGCACCCACAAGTCCCATTCTGCTTTCTTGAAATAAAGCAACACAGCAACTCTTTATTCCTCTTGCAATTGTAGAGAAAGCAAGATTATATTCTGATAAAGTTAGCTTTAGTAACAGTGAAAACTCAATAATCATTTTTTGCTACCACAACCTTAGTAACACCTTGAAGATTTTGCAGTTAAGATGGAATTAAATACAACACCATACTATCACATCACATACATCAAAACCATGTATTAAAAATAATTAGAATGTGATAAAGAATTATTTCTTGTAGCTATTCTTATGAAATTAATTTGTGTTAGGTGTCACACAGAATCTATTCATAACTGTTCACAATAAATTCCTCTGAAACAAGCTAGTATTTCTGATAACATATTTTTTTAAAATACTGTTGTTCTACACGATTATTGCAATAGAAGCTTTTGCTTAAGTAGCTGTTGAGCGTAACATCACAGCAATACTCCTTCTGTAAGTTCTTGATGTTATTTGATTACTAAATATAGACAATATTTTTAAACATTATAGTGTAGCTATCTATATTAAGAAAAATAAAACATATAGAGAGAAATTTCACATGATACGATCAGTCTCTCATACTGATAACTGATGAAGTCAGCTTCAATTCTGAAATTAATCCTGGCTTCTTGAACTTTCTAAACCATTATTGACCAATCTCATATATCTCTTAGGCACAAATATAGGGGACACTGTCACAGAGCACTGGTGATGGAACCTACACTGAATGCTGTCATGGGAATTGGTGGTCTGCTCTTAATGTAAAATTACATTGCGCAGTTGCAAAGTTGAAGGATATATGCAATGCAAAGCTCTCAAATCACAATGTTCTAGCTCATCAGCACATAACTAATCTACCAAAGTAAAAGTTTGCTGGCACAGCTATGCTACTTCCAGTATTCAGCTGTCACTAATATTGCATGAAGACCTAACAAGCTGTGGCAGGCTGCAAGATACCCACTGTATTCTTAGGTAAGCCAACATGACAGAACTCCTATGTGATGTCAATAAAATATAACACCTCAAAATAGCATGTGTATAGCTTCCTTTTGAGGGGGAATGCAGAGCAGGCAAACTGCTCTAGTGGCCCTCATTACAAATTCTAAAGATTCCCATCTCCTCACTTTTCTACTAAGATCAAGGCCAGCATCTGACTTGAGCTTTTTGCCCCTGTAACTGACAGATGACATGAGGTCTGAAGCACAAACCTATTGCATACATAATCAATACTACTAGGATGTGCACTGATGTAGCTCAACAGACTTCACAATCTCTTCTCTTATGCCCTGCTAATACACCAAAACACAGGAACAAACCCCTAACTTGAGGAGAATAATTTTATGAGGTTCTTACCTTGCTAACAAATTATTTTAATCCATCTAAAACCATAAAACATTTAAAAAGCTGATTTATTTTTACTTGTGTTATTTCTTCAAACTTGACGACTTAATCTGAAAAACACATTAGGCTAACTTTCAAATTCATGTTTTTCAGCTGAAAATTTGGAAGACATTTCCATTCTTTGAGGTCTTACCCTCATTCAGATTTCTTTTAAGCTTCCCACATCACACTCTTGGGTGTGCACTCTGTGTTCTATATATGATCACTGTTAAGAGCAGAGAAGATTGATACCATGTAGGACAGAAAGTTATTACAAGGGAGTGGTATGAGTAGAGAGGAGGAAGTGAGGCAAGCAATACAGCAGTAAGGCAGAGCATTTATCCAGCGCTATTCTTCATGCTCCATTTTTCTTGACTTCTTAGTACAACAGCCATTCTTTAGTAAGGAAAAACTAAGATAATTCAGCTTTAAATGTAAGAGATAGAGAAAATAGATACAGATCTCATTTCAGTATACTGTACTTTCCAAAGTAAGATATAAAGGCCATGTATTATTTTTAATTTCTGTAATATATTCATTTGTGTTAGTTACCAGGTAGCAGCTCATCTTCTGAATTAGTTAAGATACAAGTAGAAAGTGGGCAGTCTCCTGGTGAGCTATTTGGAAGTGCTTGAGTCATTTGTGAACCTAGGAATATAAAAAAGCTATCAGATATTTGTAAGCATTTTTTCTAGGTAACTGAGTAGCACATTTTTCTAAAACTATTTAAAAATTATTACTGATATTTCTAAGGCCTGTTGAGGCATTTTACTAAAGAATCTGTGAAGTCTTTCAATTGGCAATCACATCTTGATATAGCATAAATGCTTTTAAGAGAGAAAATAAATACAAGCATCACTAAACTAAACTGAGATTTAATTTTTCATCCATGTATTACTGTTTCTTTACTTTCACAAATGGTTTTGGAATTAGAAATCGACAGTCTAGCTGACATGCACATCCTCAAACTTCAAATACTACAGATGCTGCCTCACCAAAAGATGTTCCACATTCAACATTTTTATAGTAATTGGCAAAACCTAATGACTTAGACCTAAATATTTTCTCAGTAAGGCAATGCAAACACTAAAAAATCTGAAATCTACAATCTAGATTTAATTCATTGGAATATACATTTAAAAATCAACTATATTTGTTTAATTAGGCTATTGAAATTTATTTATTTTTTAAGTCCTGTTTTTCAGTACCTGGACAGATATCTCATCAGTTTTGGGGTCCTTTTTAAACTGTTGATGTGGAAGTAATAACATTACAATCTTTGTCATGCACAGTATCCACATTAAAATTTAACAAGAAATAAGATTTAGAATTTCACTGTAAAGTGTAAGCAAGAGGTGATAATATCAGTTTACATGGCTAGAAAGTCTAGCTTAAACATTAGTCCACTTGAGCAGCCCAGTGATCAAAAAATTATTTTGCAACCACTATGTTTCAGACATGCAATCAAGATAAGAAAAAAATTCTAAAAGTGAAAGCACAGGTGCACAAAAAAGTCAGCAATAAAACCAGCAGCCATTTGTGCATATTCACAAGTAAGTAACATTCAACTTCTTACCAGTAGGAGAAAGATTCTCTCTTTTTTCCTTCATATCCTTTATTCTTCTTTCCATTTCGTTGCATTGATCTTTTATCTTATTAACAGGGCTGTATATAAGTGAACCATTGTCTTCAAATAATAAAACTGGTACATCTGTATCTGCACAAAGAAATTCTATTTATATATTAATATTTAAATGCTGTAACAGCCTGAAATGACGTTTCTTTCTTTTTTTAAAAAAAACTTGGCAAAAGAAAAAGTTTTCTTAGATCAAGATTATTACAGATGCCTTAACACAACAGTACAGCAAAGAACTCTGTAAAAATGACATCAACTTCATTTCTCATGGCAAGATGCAAAAAGCTTATAAAAACCCCAACCAACAAACGTCAAAACCCCATCAATTGGTTTAAAAAAACTTCAGATCTTAGTAAAACATAGTTCTTACCAGCATTAACTGCTGTCTTTTGTAGAGCTAACTCTTTAGCCATTTGGTTCAGTCTTCTCTGAAGCTTTCTATTACTTCCTGGAGGTTTTTCAACCAAGTCTTTAGGCTGCATACATTTGTGCTACAAGACAGAAAAAACTCTTAATTATATGTATAAAACTGCCAAAATAATGACACCTCCTATTTTGCCTACTACTTTGTCACAGTATTTATTATTGGTATTTATGCTGCTTATCACCTCCTTGAGAGTCACAGGTAATCACAGAAATTAGCATTTTGCAAAGTAAACTTTAATATTAAATAAGAAAGAAGCAAACAAACCTTTTTTTTTGTTGCTTGCAGCAAAGTTAAAAATTTAAAGGTAGTTTTTAAGAAAACAAGTATTGTTACAACTCTGTAAAACATAAACCACATAGTATTCATGTTTTTTTGATTAGCGTTATGCAATTTGAATTTAAATCTTAATATTTTTCATTACTAATACAAAAACTTGATTTGTAGTATACCTTCTTCAGATTAGATGTCACATGATCACAGCAACAGACTGTCTTTAAACTCTTATTCAGACGGACAGGTAGAGTTTACAGAATGTTCTGAAAATCGTTCAAATGCTTAGGTCAAAAAGTCAAGTTAAAATTTTAAAGTTTTTTATTCTAGGCTCATTTAAAAAAAACCACATACTTTTTTGATTGGTAGTAGAAATCCTTCATTAGTGTCTACTGCAGGAAACAGGGATTCATCAACATGAACTCCAGTTTCTCGACACCTGCACAGTAAATTACAGAAAGTTTGGTGGGTTTTTATTCTCTTGGCTTAGTTTGAAGAATGAGAACCTTTATTGCAAGAAGAGCTGTCTGAGCCCTGCAATAATGAAACACCAACCCTTTCTAAGTGTGTAACTTTAAGGTAAGTACTGTAATGTCACCCCATCCCCTGCCCTGCCCCATCTATTACATGCCAAATATGTGATCCAAAATTTGTGCCAATGATGCCCTCCAAATTGCTGTTCTGGAAGGGCAAGATTCCCACTCGTTATTTTCCACACCTTTCCAAGCTGCAGGACTGTGCTCGCAGCAGCCGCTCGTGTGGCTCTGGTGACACCTAGTGATGGAACCACTACCCTGTGCGAGCCTGTGCAGTTATGGCCTCATCCTTACTCCGCTTGGAATGGAGAGAAAGACAAACCACTGCAAGTATTTGTCAAATTCGCCAAATTTAGAGTTCTCAGGAGTATCAAAAAGAGAGATTCACCAGCTGGATTTCAGGGACTGTTACTGAATTCTGGATAATAATCAGCACAGATGTAGACTACATGAAAAGTTACATTAATTCAGAGATTTTATTGATTCAGAGAAGATAAACAGAAGAAAATTTTAGTATTAAATCTATTATTATTTTACTTTGCAGAGAAATCTGAATGTAAATTATTTATATAACTTATTTGTGGGATAAGTTATCCTGCTAAGAAAACACAGGTAGAGCTTCACAATTACACATTTGATGAGGAAGTATTAAGTGTACTAATTTGGGCAAATTGTAGCTATTCCATTTTATATGGGGTTTTGTTCTTGGGTTTTGATTTTATTTTAGGCTGCTCATTGAAGTATTTGTGTTGAAGAAGCAGTAAAAAACTTTTTCTCAGTGATCCCAAAGCTGTCACTCTTTTTGCATTACACTAAATTTTTTTACATGACAGCAAATCCATTACTTTTGTTTGCTATTTTAAAAGTTAGACACATTTATCACTCTTAGAAAGAAGAAAGAAAAAAAAAAAAAAAGAAAAAGCAAACAATTGTTTTAAAATAGCTTTACTCCGCAGTTATAAATATTTCTGATTTTTAATTTTCATCTTAAAGACCTGTCTTCTCAAATTACTTCCTAAACTGTAGAACTGCATATAGTTTAGGCTCAAATAGATGCTCATTTATATAGCAGAAGCTTCCAATAAAAGCTTGAGGCAAATCATTGGAAAGAGCACTAGAAATCCAGTAAGAATTCAACCAGGCAATGATCACTAAATACTGCACAAACCCTTAAAAGTGTTTCAGGATTTTATGGAGAAAACTAAGTATTACAGCACTTTCCAGCTCATAGGGCATATTCCTCTGAGAGGCTCAAACACTGCTCAGGGGGAAGGCAACACTGGGGTAACAAGTCTAACAGGATAGAAGTAGGGGTTCACCAGCTGTTAAATGTGAGAGTATTTTCCACAAAGCAGGAGAATCAGGAAATGCTGATTTTTTTTTTTTTTGTTGTTGTTGTTTTGTTTTTTGTTTACTACTTCCTTCCTTGTCTGGTATTTTCAGAGCTCCAATACCAAAAAGCACCATCCAGATTAAATATCATATACAGCAGTACCCTACAGTATTCTCCAAGATCAAGATTCCCAAGGGCATGTAAGAACATAAAAACAAAGCCAAACATTCCCAGTTTACTGTGTTCCACAGATTTCTGGTTGTCAGATGGTTAGATGCAAACTATACTTGGGTTTTGATAAAATTAAATGTTTAATTGCTTCAGCCATTTTTTTTATCCTGTGTAAATCTTTGCTCACTATGATTTTGAAGCAAGGAGTTCTACAGCCTAACCCCGTGTTATTAAAACCCATCATTTACTGTTTTCTCTGAATCTGTCTCCAGGTGTATTGATGTAATGATTTCCAACTTTTCTACTGGAAAGGAAAACATACATTAATTTCCCATTCAGCCTCTCTACACAAACCTTGTGTTCACAGTAGTCTCCCATCTCCACTCCTTTTCCAGACTGAAGCATTCTTGTCTCTTCAACCACATCTTGTAAGAAAACTATTTTATAACTTCAGTCAAGCTCCTTGTCATCCTCTGGCAACATTACAAATATAACTAGGATAAAATGCTGTCATTCCACTATATGAAGTTTTATGTTCTATTTAATTTGATCTTTGACAACTGCTAAGGTAACAATACTATGAAAATGTCTACTGCAAGTACCAAAATGCAATGATCATCTCTCTGATATGCTTAAGAGGACTGCTTTAAATGGCCTTCTTGATACCAGCAAGAATTTTATTCCCTTCAGTCTTAGCTTCTTAACAGAACTTTTTCCATTTTAAGTAGACTTTTTAAATTTAAGCATTGTCATAGAATTTCTTTGGTCTGGTGTTCCAGTATGAAAACTTATGCTGCACACATACTTATGAAAAGGTTATCTGACATATTCTGAACAGCATCTACAAACCAGCTAAGAACAAGCAATAACTAACATACTTGGTTTTACACTGTGCTCCTACAGGAGTCACCAACCCCCAGTCTGCACCAGAAGGTTGATATGTACTATTACCTTACTAAGGTAACACTTCACAGCTTTTCTGACCATTTTGAGAATGTTCCACTTGCTACTGAATGAAGCAGCTGGTTAATCAAGCCATCTTTTTTAGCAATGCTAAAACTTCAACTCATAGGAACTCTGCATGATTTGCTTACACAAATTATCAGGTTTAATCTAAGTTTCCATTCACACAGGACCATAATTTTATGGGTACATATTATTCAGTCCTTCTTATTTACATTGCTCCAGGGTTCACTGAACTATCTTCTATCTTCTGCCTACCAGTGTCTGAGACATGTAATGTAGTCAGGCACTCTGGTTCTCTTATCTCATTACAAAACCCAAAAATTAGTACGCATACTAGCACAGACTCATTTTAATTTTGTACTGCCTGTGCCTCATTTGAAAAACACCATGAACAGTAGGAATATTCATTACTCCTGACCTATATTTTGCCCAAGATATGATATTCTCATGAATTCTTACAGTATACACCAGTCTAAGATGTATGTTTTTCTGTACCCTTTGGCATTTACTTTAAACTAAAGGACAGAGAAGTTCAATCATAATTCACAGCTTGGGTCCTCCTCTGCAATAAAATACATCTATTTTACATGACTCCCCAAGTTCCACCAAACTTCATCTTCTAAGTCATGTACCAAGACCTTGCTTTAGTCAGAAAATTATAACAGGAAAACTTAAAAGATACTTAAAAGGAAGATGGTAGCCTTCTCTTTCCTACCAAACAACCTAAGTTTTCTTTCTAGATGCTTTCTCCTGTCTTCTTCCTTTGTTGCTGTTACCCAGCAAAAGTTAAAAGTTTCTTGAGGCTTTTACACCTGGATTTCAAAACTCCATGATGTCCCCTACAGTATCACATATCCAGTTGTTTCTGTGCCTCAGCTTTCTACAGTGTTCATCCACTCAATTCCTTCCAGCAGTGCAGAGAAGACTCTTGTGGTAGAACTGCTATCACAGAAAGAGCATTTCTGTATGACATGTCCTAGACTCTCCCCTTCTTTCATTGGTTGTACTCATCTGGACTTTTATGAGATTCTTTTTATTAGAGCACATCGAAATCCTCAATAATTTGTAGCTCATATGACTAAGATTTCAAATTCTGTATTTATACATCTAGCCACCTGAAGAGCACATTTAATTTCACAACAGTATTGAAATCATCATCACTGTCACACATTCAAATAGCACCGGGTTCCTGAAATATATTTTACGATAAACAAAATTTTGCATTACCCTCATTTTTGGGAACTTAAGGTATTTCTTCTTTGGCATTAAAGCTGGCTGGGTTGTGTGGCTGTAACTTCTATATCTGAGGTACTTAAAAAAAAACCAATAAAAAACCAAACCAAACAAAAAAAACCCCCAAAAACCAAACCCCACAAACAAAAAAAAACCCCAAAACCAAAACCCCCTGTGTCTGCAGATCTACATGTATTTCTTTTCTGGCTAATGGACTTGCATCACAAGTTTCCAGGCTGTACTGGCCTACATTTAGGTGCCTAGAGGGCATTGATTTGCCCTCCCTCCTTGTGCCCCCCTTTCTTTAAACAAACAAGCCCAAAACGTTTGCAGACCACTACCTCTCCAAGCATATGACAATTGGTACAGGTATGGCCCTCTCTACTTGATTTATATTCTAATTTCCATCATCACATTGATTTATTGATTGGAGTGTTTAACACATGCATATTCATAAACTGTGTTTTTACGCTTCATCTGAAATCTTAGGCCTCACACGCACTTCGTAAATTCAGAGAAGCAGCTATGGACTAGCAAATTCTAAAGGACTGGTTGCACAGATTAATTTTTTCTTAAATTTTTAAAAAAATAAATTTAACTTTTTCAATATGGTATAAGAGAATCTTCATGAAGTTTTGTTCTGAACTTGCCAAATATCTTAAAAACCAGAATACATGTGGATCTTTTTCTTTCTTGCTAGGATTTATTCTGTTTACAGAATTTAAGTACAGAAACAGTACAATGCCCTTGATGAAATGTGCTTTACATATGAAAATGGAAGAATGGTGTTCAATATAAGTGTGACCTTCACTGTCTATACATGTCATATGAGAGCACAGGAGTAGAACTGTTAACAAATATACTATGAAACTACTTCATCACATTCATTTTTTAAGAGTTTACATTTTACCTTTTTGTGTAAGTCACATGCTTTATAATAGGAATAACGTCATAGAAAAGTTATCATTTACTCACAGATTCATCACTATTTCAAGTACATTAATAACATGGTTTCTGTATTTAAGTTTTGCAATTAAAAATACTAGAAAATTATTATTAATAAAATATTATCTCTGAAATAGGCCACATTCATTATAACCACAAGTACTCACTTTTCCACCCAGAGTACAGAAACTAGTTTTACACCCATCTTCTGTGCTTTCTTCCATGTAGACAAACGTCCGTCTTTGAAGACTACATGGGTCACGTGCTTGTTCAAAGTTTTTGAAACCTGCAGAAATACATAGAGAGCTTATATTTAAGTCTGATAATTGGAAAATACTAATGAAACCAGCTAGCATAGCCTATTTTTAGTGTATACACCATTAGCATAAAAATTTATTCTAAACATTATGTCAAGGGCCCTTTTGATCTTTCCCAACTTCACAAGAAGCCTCAAGCAATCAAAACTCCAGTCTCATTAGGCAAGCTAATATAGGCTATAGGGATGGAATAGCCCTTTGTTTTCAGTCTCCTCAAGGTTACCATTTTCAGCTCCCTACTCTAGGTGTATCACTAATTTTGCAACATTTTTATTTATATAGTGGAACATAATTTCTTACGCAAGGGCCAGAGCAGAACGCAGATGCCAATATCCAAAGAAATAACAAAACATACTTTAGGCAAAATAACTCAGGCTTAAAGAGTACAGCTAACCTTACTTTTTAAACAAATTTTTCATCAATAAAAATCGCTTTTTGTTTTGAGGGAAAGGGTAAAGATACTACAAACAAAAATTTTATGAGGAGGCTTTAAAAATGAGAAATATAGAAAATTCAAGTCAGCACAGGTGATGAAATTTTCAGTTATCAGCCTCCTTTGGCAAGTGAAGATTTGAGTTCTAGATACTCAATTTTTCACAAACAAAGCTTCCTTTGTGGAGACTAAGTACCCTATACAGAACTGCTTGATCAGTTGTGATTGTTGAAGTGGTAACATCAATAGAACTCATTTTTTACTGTGGCATCTTCCCAGCCAAATAGAAATAGCTCCATAACTTTCTGTTGCGTCCCCAGTTGCATCATTATACTTTGCATACAGCATGCTGGGTCTGTATGTAGCTTTAAGAAAACTATTTAGCTTTTCCAAACACTGCTGGTGGCAAGCTGATTATGACTTCTTAGAAGACAAAACCCCACCTGTTTCAGTATCTAGGTATAAAATGATCCATTCACCTCTTATAGAATAAATTATTACTCCAGATACAATTGCTTACTCACTTTTGCCAGTATCTGGTTCACAGCCCATGTCCTAAGGATGCTTGATGTAGCTTTGCCTCCAAATTACGGAGGAGCACCACCTTACACCTCCCTCTCACCTTTCCCACTTCCTCCCCTTACCCTGTGCATCTTCTGCTGCTCAGCTGAATTTACTTTGAGATGTCAGAATCAACAATCTAGCAAAAAACTAATTTAGACTTAATTTCCTAACACAGTGAACCAAGTTAGCTTAGTACCACATGCTAAGCCAACAAGAGGGAGGTGTCTGGAATAGGGAAGGGGCATGACCATCCCTATTCAGTCATAAGGATATAGTAAATAGGCTCATCTATATTATCTGCCTGCACAATATATGGTTGTTTTGACCATTTTGAAGAATTTTGAAGTCTCATGCTTCTGCTGTATTTTCTGTGAGAAAAAAGTCTTATATCATCAGGATAGAATTACACAGGTCTGATAGTACAGCATATAAATATTTGTTGTTCTTTTTACTCAAGTTATTTATTGAGAGTTGTGTTTGCTTTAATGAACAACCAGTTACCCTAACTGTTCTGTCACACTCATTCGGATTACTTCATACAGAAAGAGAGGATTTGGGGCGAGCAGCAAGATTTCCTAAATTACAGTAAGAGTCATCTACATATGCCCATTTTAAAGAGCACTGGGAGTCCACACAAATATTTTTTGGAGCATGATGTGGGCTGTAAAAATCTCCAGTAACCAGTGACAATGTACAAGAAGGGAAGATGCCAGTTTCACTCTGGTCTCTGGCTGAAATGTTACAGCTGGCAATTAAACATGTTGTGCACCTGCAAGTAAACTATATCTGGTACATATACTGAATATACATATATTCATATACATATAATGAAACTCTTTAGGTGTATTTTTACTAGCGTTTTCTGGAACTGCTCCAAATTTGTGGGAGAGTGAATGGAAGAATAAAATGTCATGTTACTCTGGTTAGGAAATGTATAAAAACAGAGCAGATGCTTACAAGCTGACAAAACAAAACAATATAAGGTACTTATAAACCACAGGTTTTCAAGACTTAGATTTGCTTTGCCCACAGTCTGTGGCAAGCCCAATACTTCCCACAAGGGGCATGCTATCACATTAATATGCAAAGAGCTCTGTAGATGTAGAAAGGCTTTAAATACACTTCCCATCTGTCCATAGCAAGAATATTACAGCACATTGGTCTATTCTCAGGTCTCTGATTTTCTCCCTTCTTGCCCTTTAAAAACTCATACTAAAAAGAAATATATGTGACAAGTAGAACAAAGCAAGCTAATTTATAATTAAGATCTTTCCTATTCCATTTATTTCAAAATAGTCTTCTTACTTCTGCTCCCATATCAAGAAGCTGCTGTTCAAAGGTTTTTGAGTAATTTTCTGTTCTGCTAGATGACCAAACTTCTACAAAGGCAGAAATACCTGGATCAGAAGACAGAAAACAAGTAATGAAGTATATACCATGGTAAAACTGGTTAAACTGCCTTTCTAATAAAAGTTTCTTTTATAATATATTGCATTCAGTTGCAAATACACCTTTTAGTAAACTGAGTGTTAGACTTTAGCAGCTGAATTTTTTTTAGTATATCTATGTCCCCCAAATTATAAATTGTAATAATTGTAAATGTAAATAATTGTAATGGAAATAACTTAGAAGTCTGACACTAGCTAACTTTTTATTTCATCTATTTAAAACACACTACCAGCTTAACAAGCAATAGATTTTCTTTACATGACTGGTCACCTGTACCATTATTTAATCACCTTTAACCTTCAGATCAGTTAAACATTTGAAAACCAGTTGATATAACACAACTTACAGAAAAAAATATCATCACAACAGAATTATTCCTTGCCCTAACTCCCAGAAAATTTTGCAGAAATATTACTTAACAGTTTCCAACTGACTTCAATTTCCATTTCATATTGAAACACCCAAAATTAAATACATATAACAGGGTCTAATAAAATTTCATATCACTTGCCATATGCAACTTTAGATATTCAGATTTAATTACCTTGCTTCATAAAGCAGATTAATAAACTCTTCAAGGAATCAAGTCAGCCTTGGTTGGGAATATCATCAAACAACCAACCAAGGACAGAAGTATTGACAAGGAGAGATAAACAAATAAAACTCATAACAATCCCTTCATTAATTTTACATAGGATAGGCACCAAAGTGACCTACAGTTCCACTGGCCATGCCACTTTCCCATACTGAATGACACATCAAGAAAATTCCAAAGCTGGAGAAATGGCAGTTCACAAAAAACAACTTCATGCAAAGGCGAGCCAACTCTAAGAACTCGTGAATAAAACCGAGAGTTTCAGTTAAAAAGAGTCATCCTTAGGAAATATTGCTTAATTATCTTAGCTACTAAGATAATTAAGCATATCCTTCTGATTAATTATTATGTAGTCTCATCTGTCTTCTTTCTAAATGAAACCCAGAATAATGCTTCAATTATTCATAACAATAGTACTTTTATAAAGATTACAATATTTTTACAATTACTAGAAATATTTTTGACATACAAGATAAATGTGAAACAAAGCACTTCCTCATGCAAAGCACTGGGAAAAATCTTCTTAGCAGTACTATGACTTCAGATATAAATGGGAATTTAAGACAAGTCTATTCCAACGTGCTTTTAACTGTGTTCATTCTACAACTAGACTGGGGCAGATTCTGACAGAGTTGCATTTTTCCTTGATAGTTTAATTGTAAAAAACGATGCACTTACATTTGACAAGACAGTATCTTCCTCTTACATCAAATATTTTAGAACTTTCATAGCTAAAATTCTCCTAGAAAAACAGACCAGAAGATTTCAGTAAAGGTCTAACTAGAAATTTAAAGGGATGCTTCTTCAAAACTCCATGCACTTGAAGTAGGATCAAAGCTGTATTTTACAATAATTATTCAATTTTAGCTAATCAAATATATTCCAGCCAAAGGCAACACTTTTTGCAGTTTTTGTACAGTTGATGTAAAGGAAAATGAGGAAGTGCTTGCCCCTTTTTTAACAAGAAGAGCTCTGAGTAGAGATCGGTTCTTGTAACCGTCAGCCTTAGAAGTTCTCAGAGAAGGCGGTGATCGCAGAGGAAAACGGCCATAACAGCGCAACTTGGCGAGGCAGAAATTTTGAGATGCAGAAGAAAGGCACGACTGACCGGAGCAGGAAGAACCGGGGGGCCGGCGGGCAGTGCCCCTACGGCGGCAGACGAGCGGAGGGAGGCGGCCGGCCCTGCCCGCGCCGCTGGCCCCGCAGCGGGGCCGGGCCCGCGCCGGGCACAGCCCGCTTCAGCCGGGGCCGACCCCCGGGACCGGGCGGGTTCGCGGCGTCAGAGCGGCTCGCGGGGGAGTCCCGATACCCCGCGGCCGCAGGCCGGGCCTCCGCAGCGGCCCGTCACCCGCCCTGCCGGGAAGCGCCGGGGCAAGGGCCGCAAGGAGACAGGGAGTGGGGGCCAGCCCGGCGGCTCCTCTCGGCCGGGAGAAGCCACCGCGGGGCGGCCGAGCCGGTACCTTTCAGCGCGGGTTCCATCGGCGGCACAGCTCGGCACTCGCAGCGCCCGCCACGGTTCAAACGCACCTCGCGCATGGGCCAGCCCCGCCGCGCCTGCGCACCGGGGCGGCGGCGGCGCTGCTGCGGAGGCCCGGCCCGCGGCCCTGGTCGGAAACGGGCTGTGCTCGGCCCAGCTCCGGCCCTTTCCCGCGCCGGGGAGCACTTGGCACAGCCGAATGCTGCTGGAAACAGCGTCACAGAATTAATTAGGTTGGAAAATACTTCTGAGATCATCGAATACAATTTATGATCCAACACCGCTTTGTAAACTGAGTGCTACATCCAGTCTCTCCGTAAACATACCCAGGGACAGTGACTCCACCACTTCTCTGGGCAGCCCATTCCAATCCCTTATCACCTTTCCCATTAAAAAAAATTCTTCCTAATATCCAGCCTAAACCGTCCCTGGTACAGCTTAAGACTATGTCCTCTCATCCTGTCACTATTTCCTGGGGCAAGAGACCGACCCTTAGGTGGTGCAGCTACCTTTCAGGTGCTTGTAGAGAGCAATGAGGTCCCTCCCGAGCCTCCTCCAGGCTAAACTCCCCCAGCTTCCTCGGCTGCTCCTCACAGGACTTGTGCTCCAGAGCCTTCACTAGCTCTGCTGTCCTTCTATGGACTTTCTCTAGCTCCTCAATATTCTTTCTGAATTGAGGGGTCCAGAACTGGACACAGCACTTGGTGACCTCACCAGTGCTCAGTACAGGGGGACAATCACTGGTCCTAGTCCTGCTGGCCACGCTACTGATGATAGAGGCCGGGATGCCACGAAGTTTTGACAAAGCCAAACACAGAGTTAATTTTCAGTGTGACCATTCACTATAATGAGTCCTAAAGAGGCATTTCTGAAGAATTTTAGTTTGTAGGAAAGTCCAGCATCAGAGGATTGCTGGTGTCTCAACTGTCTGGTGGCCCTAACTGCAGTGTCTGAAGTGAGAAAACAAATAACAGAAAAAGGCAGCAAAATAGAGGTTAGTAAAGAGCACTGGGAGACAGTATTTACCAAAGCATGTCAAACTGCTTGAGAGCAACTCTGCTATTAACTATAGTTAGGGAACCCTAACAGGAGCTAGCTTTGGTGCTCAAAGGCTGGAGTGTAGCAAATGTGATACCAGAGGGAAGTTAGAGAAAAAGTCATTCTTTTTCCAAGGAAAAATTATAAAATATATATTAAAAAAGGGAACTAAGGAGACTTGTTGTGAGAAAGAAGGAGCACATAGAGGAAAATGATGCTGCATTGCTTTATTATGCAACTCACAGAACTCAGGAGTTACTATATAGTTGTACAAATTGGTGCTGTTCTGAAATCTTCAATATGCAATGCTAATTTCATCATCTGAAAAATAATATAGCTAACATGGAAAAACAACAGAGATGCAACTCAAGGATACTAAGTGATTTCCATATGAGAAATAACTGTTCAGACAAGGACTTGTCTGCTTGGAAAAGAAATGGTGGAAGGGGGAGGTGCTAGAGGCCCTTAAAATCATGAGTGTTTGCAGAAAGTGAACATGGAGCTGTATGTTCCCAACAACAGCTAATTAGTACCAAAAGAGACTACCAGATGGGGTCTTCTCAGAAGACATATCTCCACATTGTGCCTCATGAGGCTGTGGAAGTGTTCAGAGTGCTGGCAAACCACTTGGTTTCTGAAGCAAATCCAGCAAATTCATGAAAACCCAGTTGAAGACTATCAAAAATGTACAAAACCACCTTTCTCTTAGTGGAGCGTTGAACTGTATATTGCTGAACTCTGAGAAGGCACAGGGAACACTTCAGATTTTTCTTTTTTTTTTTTTTTTTTTTTTTTTTTTTTGATCAGTCTTTTTGCACTGGACAGACAGGGCTGACCTAAAAAGGTTTTGGTGTGGTTCATTATGCACGTTCGTACTTTCATGGAAAGACTCAGATCTTGACTTGTAGGAGTCTACTGAGCAGATGGCTAAACGAATGCTTTTTAAGATCTCTTAATCTAGTATGTAATATTTTGGCATTGATACAGTTTGTTTCATTTCCAGGACATTGGTATGGCAGTAGATCTCTGGCAAGTGTTGAGCATAAGTTCTTAGATGCTTCCTCTGCTGAATGTGTTTTTTTCACTTATGTATTCATTATGTCTATAAAGTAACTAGTCAACTTATGTATATATGTTTGGTTTTATTTACCTTCTGTCAGTATGTTACACAGTTCTTTACTAGGCAATAATAAAATATTTTTACCAAGGTTCTCAACTGTGCCTCAAGGAAAAGGGAGCCTTGTCTAATGCAGTATCTCTGAACATTGATTTGAGCTGCTCCCAGACAGAAGTTCTAGCACCTAGTGTATATTAATCACTAGGCTTCGGCAGTAGACCCAAAACAGACTTAGACAACGAGCCAAAAGTGGAGACTGGACAACGACCCACACCTACATGCAGGGAAAGTCTCAAAGAACCAGAGAAAGCCCTCAACACTCCTGGAGTCAGTCATCATGACTGCAGAGGAGCTGGAGAGAAGTAACCACCTCAGAACAATGAGCCACAGTTGAGTCTTTGGATGTATCCTCAGAGGGTGAAGACTCTGATCCTGTCTTAACTGACAGGCTCACTTGCCCCTCCTCGGGTATGTTGACTCACCTGGAAGCAGTGGTGGCGGCGTGACCCCCGAATCCCCACCCACCTAGGCTATCCTTTCAATAAAGGCCTTATCAAGAAAGGAGCACAAGGTCTCCTGGACAGTTTATTTACTACACTCTGACAAGGTAAACTTGTTTTCTCAGTAAGCCTAACAGTTCTTGTCTATGCCTGTTTCAGTTTAAATGTTGGTTTTTAAAGTAGCATACAAAACTGCATGGCAGCAGTGTTCTGTGCCATTAACACTGGACTGGTAGATATACTTTACAAACTTCACCGTGGGATCCATTTCTCAGGACTAGATTACTATTCTGTGATGAACTAATATTTCCAGCTCATGAACACTGGGATTGTAACTGTTTGTTCATTCATTTCCAGTTGGTAAAGGGAGCCCTTTCCCATCTCTCGCTGGCTGTGCCCGCCATTCACCATGCCCAGCTCGCGCCACAGCGCCCCCTGCAGCCGCGGGGGAATCACCGTCCCTGCCCTGCCCATCGGGAGCCAGCAGCGCCCCTGCTGGATGTGACCGGAACTGCAGCGAAGGGGAAAGGCTGTGGCCGAGGGAAGGTGGGACTGGGTCTCTGGTTCTGTTTGGTGTTGCTGATGTTATTGTTGTTTGTTTGTCTTGTTATATATATATTCTAGAACTGTTATTCCTTTGCCCATACCTTTGCCTGAAAGCCCCGCAGTTTCAAAGCTATAAGAATTTTGAAGGAAGGGGGTCACATTTTCTGTTCCAGTAAGGTTCCTGCCTTATTTGGCAGACACTTGTCTTTTAAACTAGGATGATAAGATAGAGGACTCACACCTCAGTAGCCTCAGAGGCATTCTAGTCTCTGCTTCTCCACAAGCAGAATGCCTCCTGAGATTGCAAACAGTGGCTTGTTTGTTCTCCTGTTTTCCTCTTTTGGCTGATGCTTAAAAAGGCATGTTTTAACTTTCCACTTCTGTTTTAGAATAGCCTGTTCTAAACAGATGAGGAAATTCCTATCTCATTTTTATCCTATTTATTTTAGTATATATTATGTAGATAATAGTCTACACAAGTAGTAGATATCAGTAAAAAAATCAAAACAAAACCAGAAAAAGCAACTTTTTAAGAGCCACTGTGAGCAATGTTACTGATACTCTCAGTCCTTATTTGTGTTTCATGGAACATGGAAAAAAATTATGAGGGACATTTATTTCCTGCCATAAAGAAAGTGTAACATTATGGACCGTATAGTCTTACAAAATTATTGAATGTTACCATCAATGCGATGATTTTTTTTATTTTCCAATGTGAAGTTCATATGACATATGAGACCTTTTTCAGGAAATGAAAAAGCATTTAATACTTTTTACTTTCTGTGAGGCAGTGACCAGTTTAATTTTCTTTTTTTTTACTCTGTAATTAAGAAATCACTGGTTTTATATCCACAGGTAATGTGCTGACATGGCACCAGCTTTATTTTGCTTTTGTGTGACGTTCCCCCCCTCACACAGCCCCCTGAATTATCAGGCTAGCCCAGAGATCTGAGGCTGTGAGGGGAGGAATATCAGGAGATGATAAAGATTTCCAAAAGAGGCTCTTACCCTGAGATATGTTGGTTCAGCTCTCTTTATTCTGTGATGTCCGTGTGGAGAGCGGGGCAAAAGAGGAAGAACAGGAAATGTCAGGGGTCTATATAGACTTTGGACAGGGTGGGCTTCCCTGGCTCTCTGCCAACCCCGTTGGGGCAGGAAGGAGGGGTCCAGGGTTATCTTGATCAGAGTCACAGGGTCCCGGGGAAGGGGGCACAGAGTGCCCATGAGCTCACTGTAACATTTGTGAAACAGTGATTATAGGATAAAGATCTATCCTTGTTAAGTTTTAATTCACCCAGTAAGACAGTGTCTTTTATGCACTGTGACCCCAGAGGCCTATTGTGGAAGAAAAAGTCAGCAACATGCTGAAAAATAACAACCTATCATGTAATTGAGAGTATGACTTGACAACACGCTAATAAGCAGGTGTCTGTGTTGTTAATGATGGCATGGAAAGCTTATGCATTTTCCCTCTGAGCAGTTTTCACTGCCTGCAGTTCAGAATAAGACTGAAAGGGTCAAAAAGCCAGTTTATCTGACCTCTGTATTAAAATTCCATTGCGAAGGTTTGTGATCTTCCTAAGCAATGTAGAACTGTACTACTGAACACAGGCTTCTTGCTTTTCATACATCTCTGTGGAGATGCTGCTCTGGACTGTGGAAGACAGCATTAATAACTAGTATCTCCAATGCTTCATGGTTTTACTCTCATTTTGCAAATCCGCCCAAAAGATACTGTTTAAAAACAAGTCCTCTTGTGTGTGTTCAGGCAGG